AAAAAAAAAAAAAAAAAGAGGTGGATGGGGTGACACACAAAGAAACGCTTAGCAGCACCAGCGACCCCAGAAGCGCTCAATAAACCTCCCTCCCAGGGAGGGACAGAACCCGGACTCCTTCACCGCCCGGCCGTCCCGCTCCAAAGCCACCCACTCTTCTCTCGCGGGGCCAGCGTGCCTCAGGATTCGGTGGCATCCTCTTCCTCCTCGTCTTCCTCCCCGGCTGCGGTCTTGCCTCCAGCCCCTTTCAAGTCCACCCAGAGAGCCTTTTCTTTCCGTGTGTCGGAGCGCAGCCTGGACAGCTTCCTGGCCTTCCAGGATACGCAGCCGAGGGAAACCAGCAGAAGCCCCAGCAGGGCCAAGGGACAGACCACGAGGAAGTAGAGCAGCGGCGTCGAGGAGCAGATTCTGGAAGGAAACGTGGACTCTGCAGTAAGGGGAGGGGAAAGGAAAGACAGCGGTTGGCCTCCGACTTACCTGGACCCGTCGGTTGCAAAGCTCTGGGGTTGCTTGTGATAGGCAAATGTACGTCACGATAACGAGACTCAAGAGCAGGAGGTCCCTGAAGTCACACGTGAGGAGCACGGGACAGAGTACTGGGAGGAGAGCACACCAGGAATGGCCTCCTTTTTTTTTATTGTGATCTCACTTTGCCGCCCAGGCTGGGGTGCAGTGGCACGGTCACAGCTCGCCACAGCCTCGACCTGTTGGACTCAGGTGATCTTTGCACCTCAGTTACCCAAGTTGCTGGGACTACACGTGCACACCACCGTGCCTGGCTATTTTTTTTTTGGGGGGGGGTAGAGAGAGAGTCTTGCTATGTGGCCTAAGCTGGTCTTAAACTCCTGAGCTCAAGCAACCTTCCTGTGTGGGCCTCCCAAAGTGCTGGGATTCTAGGCACGTGCCACCACACCCTGCTAAGTTTTAGATTTTTTGTTTTGATTTGTTTGTAGAGACGAGGTCTTGCTATGTTGCCTAGTGTAGTCTTGAACCCCTGGGCTCGAGCGATCCTCCCACCTTGGCCTCCTCAAGTGCTGGGATTACAGGCGTGAGCCACTGCGCCTGGCCAGGAATGGGCTCTTCTCATGCAGCTTCCCCTTGCCCGGCAATTTCCAACCCCTGGAGGTTCCCGTGACCTACTTAAAACTAACAGCCAAAATGAAAAACAAAACAAAAAAGAAAACCTCTCCTTTAATCTTGTTTCCTCAGAAAAGATATCTATAATTCAACCCTCGTTCTCAACTCTGTTGCTGGTCCTAAATTTTTAACCAAGCTATTCCCACTGCTGCTTCTGAAACGCACACACACACACACACACACACACACACACACACACACACACACACTGCACTGTCCTTATTAAGCCACTGCGCCGACAGAAAGGAGCTCCCTCCTGCCCTGGCGCCGACCTCCACGTGAGCCCCCCTCGCCCCGTTGGGCTCCCGTCCCATGGCCCTGACCGTGGCCACCCACCCCATCCTCGGGTCCTCCCACCCAGTGCCCCACACTCCTGGCTCTCCCTCGCCTCGGGCACAGCGCTCCTCTCCCCTTCAGGCGCCTTTCGTCCCCTTTGAGCCATCTCCTCTGTTTCCTGATCGCTCCCCCGTGTGTCTGACGGCGCCATCTCCTACAGTGCCTGGGACGTGTGCGCGAGCACTTTTGCTGATCTGAGTTAAATGGCACTGACCGCAACCACACGGGCAAAAGAGACTACAGCAAGGCACGCTGAAGCATATGATCACCTGGCAGCTGCAGTCTGCCAGGAGGCACGATCAGCAAGCAGAGGCGCGGAGCACGCACAAACAGCCCCAAAGCGGCTCCTGGCCACGCAGCTGGGGACGCAAAGGCGGGGAGAACTGTGGACACCACAGCTTTCGGGAACCAGTCTCTGAAGCAGAGAGACACATGCTGAAAGACACACCAGCGGCTACATGTCGTCTTCCCACTCCATTTGCTTATGACACGATGTCTGAAATCAAGGCTGTTCTGAAAAATTCAACAGTCCTTGTGCGTTTATTGGAGAATTGTAACGACATAAGCAATTTCTTCTTCAAAGGTTGAGCCAGAGGATTCATGGGATTATAGACTCTTAGAGATGAAAACGGGCTTGAAGGTCATTTGGACCAAGCTCCTGCCGCAGGGATTCCATTTTTGGTTTTGCTGCTGCATCTTACATGTTGAAGAACAGCTCTTTGAGGAGAGTCAAGAAAGAATCTAGACATTTGCTCCGTTCTGGCGCTGTGAGCGCCTCGAGGGCAGGGCCTGTGTCTAGTGTGTCTCTTTATCCCTGGCGACTCTTGGTTCACAGGGTCTCCATGGAGCCAGACCGATGAATCGATGCCCAAGTACATTCCACACATGGGAACCCAGGGATGGCTGCCAACGTGTTACACACAGTAAAGACCATCACTCAGACTAAATCTATCCCTTAGACCGCCGGCCCCTGTGTCCCCTGTCCTGGGTGACATTCCACAGAGAGCCAGTCAATTACTTAGAAGGCTCTGGTTTCATTTTCTAGTCACTAGCGGCTCCGAACGGGGCTGGCAAGGAGCTCTAGGGCTTGTGGCCTGGGTCTTCTCTGGTGGTATCTGTTCTCTTCCTCCTAAATTTTGTCTTTGTTTTTGAGAGGGTGAGCCATGATGAAGCTGGGTTCCGACTTCTTTACCATCTCTCTCTCCACAGTCTATTGGACCCCTCTCCCAAGGCCCTGCTTGACCACAGCTATTCTTCCAGGTCTTAGCTGAGGACATTTGAAGGCACATGGTTAGGAGGAAGCATAGTCTGCAATGCTGAAAGGGAACGGAGCCGTAGAGTCCAGGTGTTAAGGGCACTGGCCGTGGGCATTTGTGCAGAGAAGAGTGAATGAGCACCTACTCCGTTCCTTCCTTCCTTCCTTCCGAGATGGGATCTTGCTCTGTTGCCCAGGCTGATCTCGGAGTCCTGGCTCAAGTGATCCTCTGCTTTGGCCTCCCAAAGTGCAGGGATTATAGGCATGGGCCAACACACCCAGCTAGCACCTACTGTATTTCAAAGAGAGTTGGACTCAAATTTCTACTCTCCAACTTACTATTACTGACTCTGGATAGCTTTCCTTCTCTGATCATTAGTTTCCTCGTCAACCAAATAGGGATAAAAATTTCTAGAGTTGGGATGAGATAATGCATAATATAGCATTTGACAAAGTGCCCTGAGCATCGGTTGAGTCAGCAAGTGATAAATACCAACTAGAATGCGACTTTGAACACTAGGAAAGTCACAGGCAACTTGCTCCCTAGAGGACAGACAGAGAACGACCGGAGCCTGCTGCCCTCTCTCACAGGGGCCACAGGTTTGGCCATGCTCCTCCACAGACTAAATCTCTCCCTTAGATCGCTGGCCCCTGTGTCCCCCATCCTAGGTGACATTCCACAGAGAGCCAGTCAATTACTTAGAAGGCTCTGGCTTCATTTTCTAGTCACTAGAGGCAGAGAATTGTCAGTGAGAGTCCACGGCACTAAGTGTCATAGTTGCTAGAACAGTGGGGTGGTGATGGCGAGATGGGCAGCCACATAGGAGGTAGAAGGAGACCTGGTGCTCAGCTTTTCTGCCACGAAGCCTCTCGTCTTCCGCATGATGGGATGGCCAGAGGGCTTGACGATCTTAGTGGGGAGGACACTTAGTGAGAGTGACTAACTCAGCTCAGAGCAGCACTGAATGGGCCAACAGCTAGTAACTGTCAGCTCCGGTGCTCTTAAATTACCTCTCCTGGGAGGCCAGTGTTTGCTCTGGATCCCACAATCACCAGGTCCCACCATCTGCCTCTCACCCCTATCTGGATTAGAATCAGTGACATTCAAAACCACTAAGGTTTGGCATTTTGAATCAATCTGAGTGAGTGCCCGATGCTCTAAGTATAAGACCTGCAAAAACAGATCCAAAAATGCAACGAGAACACTTCATCATGAGGTTTTGTTTTTTGTTTTTTGAGTTGGAGTCTCACTGTCGCCCAGACTGGAGTGCAGTGGCCACTCCCGGCCACCGCAACCTCGACCTGCTGGGCTCCGGCGATCCTTCCACCTCAGCCTTCCGAGTAGCCAGAATTACAGGCGCGTGCTACCACGCCCAGCTAATTTTTGATTTATTGTAGAGCTGAGGTCTCGCCAAGTTGCCCGGGCGGGTCTCGAACCCGCGGGCTCAGGCCATCCACTCACCTCGGCCTCCCAAGGCGTGGGATGACAGGCTGAGCCCCCGAGCCCGGCCCATCATGAGGTTAGTGTACAACTCGCCTCCGCCCACAGCCAAACACAGCAAGGGAAGCACTCCTTCCTGCTACTACCTCAGAAACACCAGCCCCCACCCCATTCCCCAGCCTAACACTGGAGCAACCGACTATGTCATAGGTGGCTCTCTGGGAGAGTTGGCTCTTGCCAAGAAATAAAAGTAGGACAAGGTTGCCTGACAACAAGTGCGTCCCAGAATAAGTGAACCCCGACAGCATCCTGTTTCAATCCAGCTGAAAATTTGCTCATTCTTACATCAAACATGTGTTGAGTGCTGTGTGCCAGGCCTTGTTGGAGGCCTTGGGAGGCAGAGTTAAACAGTGTGGCCTCTCCAGAAACTTCAGTGTGGTAGGGACACATAACTCCTTCAAGGATCCACTTTCTAAATCGATCCTGACCCAAATAAAACCTGGGGAATATTAACGAGTACCACACTACCAAAGATAATTCAGTTCCCAGAAGGCCCTGTAGTCTGGTCTGTCAATCACAAGGAATGCTCTAGAATAAGCTATTTATGTCTAGGGTCTGAGGGTAAGACAAAAAGACTGAAGCAGCTGTAGTCTCTGCCCTGGCTTAGTCACCGGTAAGGAAGGGACACAGAGAAGAGGAGACAAAGTCCCTTCCTCTAGGAAATGTCTCTCTCTTTTTTTTCTTTTTGAGTTGGCATCTCACTCTGTCAACCAGGCTGGAGTGCAGGGGTACCTTCGCGGCTCACCACAGCCTCAACCTCCTGGGCTCAGGTGATCCTTCCACCTCAGCATCCCGAGTGTCCGGGACTACAGGCATGGGCCACCATGCCCAGCTAATTTTTTGATTTTTTTTTTTTTTGTAGAGACAAGGTCTTGCTGTGTTACCCAGGCTGGTTTTGAACTCCTGTGCTCGAGCAACCCTCCCACCTCAGCCCCCCAAAGTGCTGGGATGACAGGCGTGAGCCACTGTGCCCGGCTGCCAGGAAATGTCTCTTTTCTGCCTTCATTTGAGCCACATGCTCCATAGTTCCGTTATGTGGTCTTAAAACAAGCCAAGTAGAGAGAAAACCCATCTGAGAAGTGATAATTGGTAGCATAGCATATGTGACCCGGATTTTGTTCACACACAGACCTGGGACTCACCCGGGATGCGATGCTATGGGGACTAAGACAACATGTGAGCATCCCCTGCAGCCAGG